GCGGTGCTCACCCCTCCCCCCGGCCCTGCGCCGCAGCCGGGTGGGCTCGGCTGGATGCCTCCTGCCCGGCTCAGCTTCTCTGGAAGCTTCTGTCCTCCCTGCAGAAGCCGGGGCAGAGGACATCCACCCAGGCGGCAGCTGCTGGATCCTCCACCTTCCCTCCCAGCCCAGCAGGCCTGCGCCCCAGGGTCCCAGTGGAGGACTCCCGGGCTCTGCCTTCCCCCTGCTCCGGGGTTGCCGGCCTCCAGGCTCGGGACCAGAGGAAACCTTGCTCCTCACACCGCATTGCTTTGGCCAGCCAAGTAACCCCCGTTTACTGTGGGCGCCCGTTAAAGAAAAGGAAAAAGGCTCACAGATTCTAGCAGCATGAATAGAAACGCTTTCAAGCCGGCTTCAAACAGCCATAAACATCTGCGCTTATATTACCGGAATAGAAAGTCAAACATGTGGTCCCCGGAGAGCCCCCATTAGCTGGAAGGACAGCCTGTACCGACAGAGGTTTAAAAGGATCTCCCTGTGCCCCATTTCCTCTCCGGAAAAGTGACCATAGTCTGGGCTGGAGGCTGCCCAGGAGACCCCCCCAAAGGCCCCCCCCCCCAGAGCAGTATGCATAAACGGTGGGCCTGTCTGAAGGAGCGCGGTGGGTTTTGGAAGGCGGCTGGCCTTACCTGGAAAAGACCGAGAACCAGGTGGCATGTGAGCTGGGTCTTAAAACATGACAACGAATGTGAGTTCCAGTAGGTGTCTGGTCTTCCTGCTCCCACGATTGCCCCACGCTCCGGCAGTAACCAACAGAGAGGTCCCTTCCTACACTGGCACTGCGTGTTCACAGCCTCCATGAATGAGCAAAAGGTGGGGTCTACGTGCGATGGAGCGTCATTCAGCACCAAAAAGGAAGGAAATTCTACCAGGTGGTGGGATAGGGATGAACCTTGAGGGCTTAAATGAAATAAGTTAAAAAGGCCAATGCTGCATGATTCCACTTAAGTGGAATGACTAGAGTAGTAAACACAATGGGTAGAATATGGGATGAGCGGATGGCCTAATGGTTATGTCGCTGGACTCCCACGTGGCCAACTGCCATGGAGTCCCGGGTCAGGCGGCGTGAAATTCACGCCGGGCACGTGTGCAAGCATGCACAAAGTCCTGAGAGGAGACTGTAGGAGAAGGGATTGTGGTGTGACCGTCCCCCCGGAGGTGATTTCTTGCTTTCTGTCTCTCTGTCTCTACAGCGAATGCTCACACCCTGTAGCAAAAATCTCTTTAGAAGCAGCAGGAAGGAAGGGGAAGGGAGATGGAGACGAAGAAGAATGGGGCAGCCGGGACCAGCAGGTGGCATAATGGTTATGTCACTGGACTCCCACGCAGCCGGCCATGGTCCAAGTCCCCCGACCAGCAGCTTCAACGATGCCGGCGCGTGTGCGTGCGTGCCCAAGATCTGGAGAGGAGGATGGGGGAGAAGGGATTGCTGCGTGGCCATCCCCCCTGCGGGGTGATTTCTCACTTTCTGTCTCTCTGTCTCTCAGGCAAATACACACGTCCTATAGCAAAAATTTCTTAAAAGAAAAAAAAAAGGTGGTAGCTAGGAGCTGGAGCAGGCAGGCATGGGGAAGTTGTTGTCTGATAGATCTATACAATTTCATTTTGTTTTTAGGAGAAAATTCTGTTATAGAGAGTGCACACTCACTAGAGAGAAAGAGACAAAAAGCGAGAAATCATCCCTAGGGGGGATGGCCTCGCCGCGATCCCTTCTCCTCCATTCTCCTCTCAGGATTTTGGGCACACACGCACATGCTTCCTGTGTGAGTTTTAAGCTGCCGGGTCCAGGACTCGAACCACATCGACTATGTGGGAGTTCAGCAACGTAACTGTTATGCTATCTGCCGGTTCCTACCAGTTCAGTTTTGCAAGATGAAAAGTTCTGGAGATTGGTTGCACAATGTGAAGATACTGAACAGTATTGAATCGCGTACTGAAAATGGTTAAAATGGTGAATTCTGTCAATGAGTGTTTTCTTTTTAAAAGGTTTAAATATATGCGATGGTAATATTTCTCAAATAATTATGTTACCATGGTTTTTTAAAAAATCACTTCTCTACTTAAACCTCCCAATAACATCCTAACTCCTTTTCACAGCTGATTGAGATCTGATTCCAGCTCACCTGTCCTTGGGGACACACTGAGAACAGAATTCCTGCGCTAGGCGCTCCAACCACGCCAGTCTCTCCCTGTCCTGGAGGTCGCCACGCATGTTCTCACCTATGGACTGGGCGCCCAGCCTCCCTGCCCACCTACTTTCATCACCTTCCATCAGTGGTTCTCAGACACTTTCCCATCCCATCAAACCTGGCAGAGCGACACAGTGTCAGCTTATTGCGCAGCAGGTGGTGTAGTGGTTAAGGGCTCAGGACTCCCACCTGTCTGACCATGGTTCAAGTCTTGGACCTCGTGGCTTGCTTTCTCACTTTCTCTTTCTCTCTCTCTCTGGTCAAATTAAAATAAGTAAATAAATAAAGTTAAATAAAATAATTCTTTTTCTAAAAAAAAAAAAAGAACAATGAAGGGAAAGGTCTCTCAACTCCCACTAAGAATTCACCCATTAGAAAGACCTTAGAAGGAGCTAGGAATTTATGATAACAGGAAGGGGTCACAAAGATGTTTGGAAGAAGCTACGTGGAAGAGAGAAGGCATTGCTGAACACAGTATCTGCCCGCTCTGGTGGACAGTCGTCACTGGTCATGTCTTTTGGATGATTCCCCAGAGCCTCTGAATAGTGTATTAGTCTGAGAAACAGAATTAATAGATTGTATACAGATGGATAGATAAATACAGATCGATTATATATTTATATATATAATCTTTGGAAAAGTCATAACGTATTGTTCTATGTTTTCCTATGCAAAAATGCACCATGAATTTTCCAACAACCCAACAATATCTATATAATGATATGCCTATATAATTGTACTGAATAGTATACATGTTTACCTAAAATCCCAAGAGAATGGAGGATAAGGAGTTGATGCCTGGCCACCCTCCCAGGGGCTGCTTTCTCACTTTCTTACTCTCACTGTCTCTCTCTGTCTCTCCAGAGAGTGCATGTGCCCTATAGCAAAACTATAACAACAACAACAAAAATGCCCCAAGGTTTCTTAAATTCGGTAAAGAAAATACCAGATCAGGGGTTGGGGGGGGAAATGTGTTTTGTTTTCCTTTCAAAAATATCTCCAGCCCAAAGTGAAACTCTTTTCTGGAAAATATAGGATTTTTTTACTTCCTTTATTTGTTTTTGGTAACTGATCCAACTGAGTAAAACTCAAATAAATATGCAAAACCAAATGTGCTTAATAATGGCGTGTGGGTAGTGTTACGGCTTTTGTTTTTGAATCGCCACAAAGATTAATGTAGTCCTAGTTAGTGATCATGCTTTTATTAACTATGTGAGAATAAACAGAAAGCAGGGGAACTACATCTATATCATATGTTCTAATACCTGTGTTAGCTTTTTTAAATATAGAGATTTCTTTTTAAATTAAATTAATTTGCTTATATTTATTGCTATAGGGATGTACACTCACCAAAGACAGAGAAAAAGCAAGCCACCAGGTCCAGGATTCAAACTGCAGTTAGCCATGTGGGAGTCCAGTGCACTAACCACCATGTCATCTGCTGGTCCTGTGCTAGCTTTTTAAGAGACAACCTTCTACCTATACAAGAGTTGTTTACGAATGAGATGAGGTCGAAGGCAATGTTGGCTGCTCTAGGAAAAAAGGGAACTATTTCTGAAACACAGGTAATACATCATATTACTGTCAATACATCAAACATCAAAAGAGGTCTGGTACTGACCAGCTACTCTTAATCTTTACAGCTGAAGATGTATTTTTATTCAAAAGGGTAATTTTTTTCAGAGAGATTTTTGCTATAGGGCATGCATTGATTGCTGGAGAGACAGAGAGAGACAAAGAGACAGAAAACAAGAAGTCACCCTCCAGAGAGGATGGCCATGCTGTAATCTCTTCCCCTCCATTCTCCTCTCAGGATTTTGGGCACACATGCACACATACCCAGCGTGAGTTTCAAGCCTCCGGATTCAGGACCCAAGCTGTAGTTGACCATGTGGGAATCCAGAGGTGTAATCATTATGCCTTCTGCTCTGGTCCCAGAATTAATGAGTTTTTTAGAGAGAGAGATTTTTGCTATAAGGCACATGTACTCTCCAGAGACAGAGAGAGAGAGAGTGAGAAATCACCTCCCCAGGGCATGGCCATGCTACAATCCCTTCTCCTCCACCCTCCATTCTCCATTTTTGGGCACGCATCCACACATGCTCATTGTGAGTTTTAAGCCACCTGGCATGGGATTTGAACCACGGTTGGCCATGTGGGAGTCCAGCACCTTAACCACTATGCCACTGGCTGGCCCCAACTAATATTTTAAAAAGAACAACTCATAGCACTTTGCTTCCTTTAATAAAAGATTGCTATTAATTTTTATTGTTTTGCTTTCAAACATGAGCATGAACATGAAGCTTCGCTACTTAATAAAAGTCAGCTAGCAAGACAACCAGCTCATTTGTGGTCAGTGTGCTGCCGTACTCAGAGCCGCCTTCCCTGAGGCCGTATCTTTTTACTTATTTATTTATTTATTTTGGTGTTTTCTATAGGATACTTGCACTTGCTGAAGAGAAACAGAGACAAGGAGAAAGAGAAAGTGAGAAAGCAACCCCCTAAGGAGGAAGGCCATATCGCAATCCCATCTCCTCCATTCTCCTCTTGAAATTTTGGATATGCATTCACAAGCATCCAGCAGCTAGGTCCAAGACTCGAGCCGTGCAGTCAGTCGCATGGGGTCCAGCCACCTTAACCACTACCATGTCACCTAGAGGGCCCAAGGCCATATCTTTAAAAAAAAA